GACGTCAGGATGGGATGTGGGGCCCAAGGCGAGGATTAGGGATTAGGCGTGCTACACTACTTTTGGGATGGGGATTGCTGTCGGGGGTGAGGATGGGGATGGGATCCCTGTCTGAGGGATGGGGATTGCAACCTTGACCAAGGAGGGGATTGGGAGCCCTGGCCAGGGATGGGGATGGGACCCTGGTCGACAGGATGGGGATTGCAGGCTTTCGCAAGTTTAGGATGAGGTCGCTGCCATAGGATTGGGAACACAGTTGGAGGATTAGAATTGGGTGTTCTGCTGTAAAATGAGGCTGCAGGTGCAGAACTTGGAATACTGACAGGACTGCAAAACAGGCCAAGGATGGATGGTTTAGTTGTCCATAGTTGCTTACATGGAAACTCAAACAAACACAAGGAGGTTCTGCTTGCAAGTCGCGTCCCATAGCAAACCAAACTCAAACACAAGGAAGTCCTGCTTGCAAGTCGCGTCCCATAGCAAACCAAACTCAAACACAAGGAAGTCCTGCATATAAGGCGCGTCCCATAGCAAAACAAACTCAAACACAAGGAAGTTCTGCTTGCAAGTCGCGTCCCATAGCAAACCAAACTCAAACACAAGGAAGTCCTGCTTGCAAGTCGCGTCCCATAGCAAACCAAACTCAAACACAAGGAAGTTCTGCTTGCAAGTCGCGTCCCATAGCAAACCAAACTCAAACACCAGGAAGTCCTGCTTATAAGTCGCGTCCCATAGCAAACCAAACTCAAACACAAGGAAGTTCTGCTTGCAAGTCGCGTCCCATAGCAAACCAAACTCAAACACAAGGAAGTCCTGCTTATAAGTCGCGTCCCATAGCAAACCAAACTCAAACACAAGGAAGTTCTGCTTGCAAGTCGCGTCCCATAGCAAACCAAAACACAAACACAAGGAAGTTCTGCTTATAAGTCGCGTCCCATAGCAAACCAAACTCAAACACAAGGAAGTTCTGCTTGCAAGTCGCGTCCCATAGCAAACCAAACTCAAACACAAGGAAGTTCTGCTTGCAAGTCGCGCCCCATAGCAAAACAAACTCAAACACAAGGAACTTCTATGAGTTGGCAGCACCGAATCTAGGTTGGGGAGTCTAACAACAGAGTCGTCCATGCATTTCTTGCTTCACACCAAATGCCAGCGCTGGCACTCATTGCAAACAACACAACAAGCATTCGCCCCCTACCGTGGGGGGAACAGTGCCCACGAGTTCATGCCTGGCACCCTCCCAATGCGACTAAACAAGGTGGCAAACCTTTCAACGGCAGGCCCCATATAGGCAATGACACTGCCGTGTGGATTCTGCGCACGGGCTCCCCATTGAAGCTCATCACTAGTGCCCACCTGCCGGACAAACGAAAGGCGCTCCCGGAGAAAGCACACTGGCCAGTCCAGCACATCATTGAACCAGCTGTAGCCAATACCTGCCTTCAATAGCACCACGGCCTGACTCACATTCCCCGCCTGATACTCCCGCACGCATCTTCCAAAAAATAGCCCTTGGAGGCTCTGCCCACTCCGTACACCAAAAGCAGGGTTGAGAAACACGTTTCCTCGCCATGCATTGCCCTCTGCCAGTCCATCCGTCGCCTCGTCGTAAAAGGAAGTGGCCCGGACCCGCACGTTTGCAGCGGCACAAGAACACGGGTCAAGGTCAATGCAGCCTGGTGTGAACAGCTCACGCACCAGGTCCAAGATGAAATCTGGTGTGTACCATTCACATGTATCACTTTGCATGAACACACGCAGGCCACCATATTGCAGCGACCTGTTATCCTCATGCCGCGTATCGCCACCTGCAGCCATGCCGGTGGCATCAGATGGTGCGGCTACAACAGCTGAACCCGCTATGACATCATGAGCCAGAGACCCGTTGACCTCCCTTAGACATTCACGTACTAATCGGCCACTGACACGTGCATTTTCCAGTCCACCAGCCCGTTGTAGTGCCAGCAACCATGCCTTCAGCTGGACATCGGGATGACAGCCCACCAATGGCCGCACCTGCCTCTCATTGCTTGGGCGGGCTACATCTGCCGGGAGGTTTCGTATGACGCGTGCCGCTGCAACCAGGTTCCTGGCCTGGCGCAAGCCAAACCCAAGCACTGCCGAAGATCTCCTTATGTACGCTTCAAAACTGGCATGCCCCGCGAACCTGTACAGCTTCCCCTCGGCGATATCTAACAGTGCTAGGCTTGCCTCTGCAAAAAAACCCAGAGCAGCCCTGGCCACACGTCGCTCAGCCAAAGCCAAGGCGTTGCCTTCTCCTGTACCAGCTCTGCCCAAGGAAGCCCTGCAAACCCGCAGTGCAAGACAGCCAGCATCCCCTTTCCATTACATCCCAGAGTTGTATCATGCCAAGGCGATGGTTGCGTGCACATGGCAGCATTCTTGGCATGTTAGGTGCGCACTTTCAACTCAAAACGATAATCCTCGTCGTGCTGCTTGCAGAAGATGACGAGGTGCTGGGGCCGGCCATGCATGATGGACTTTGAGCAAGTCATTTTGCAGAAGCAACAAGTGATGATCTTGTGCTTCTTATGGCACTTGGGGCAGCACACCCACCGTTCAGGAACCCCATCTTTGCCAACAGAGTGTGCACCCGGCTCCTCCTCCTCCTCCTCCTCCTCCTCCTCCGCCTCCTCCTCCGCCTCCTCCTCCATGCCCTCAGACTCTGAGTTGATGGCCACCGCACTGCCGTCCCCTGTCATATCATCACCGGCTGAGCCCTGTGCCGTGCCCACTGCTGACGGCCCTGCAATGGCCCTGTCGGCTTGCAGCTGGGGTGCCGTGGTATTAGGCTGTTCAGCTGCAGCTGCAGCACGGGCTGCAGCAGCAGCCTCCATGTGCTCAGCCTCACTGCTGTCCAGCACCAGCAGTGGCTCAGCCTTCGGCTGAAGGAGTGGAACTGCATATGGGCAGAGTCGCACTCCAGCAATGGGCTTGCGGAGCCAGCTGAAGTGGCCAGCCCCGCTGCGTGCCAGCAGGCGTAGCCAGTGCATATTCTCAATATGCGTCTTAGCCTTCACATGAGCCCGGATGTTGGCAAGCGGGCTCTTCGAACTAGCACTGGGCATCCAGCCTGCTAGTCCATTGAAAAATTTGTGCTTAGCCACATCCTCACTGGGCTCAGGGCCATTTAAGCACACCGCAGGCAGTGCAGGTGGAGGGGGTGACACCTGGTTGCTGCAGTTTTCACCACCAGTGAAGCCTTGCTTCCGTAAACCACTGCCGCTGCTGCCGTGGTGAGCACCGCCGCTTCTGCCACCCTTGGCTTTAGCTGCACCACCAACTCGCGTGGTGTCAGCAGTGTTTACGGCCGCCGCCTTAGGCATTGTGGCGGCAATCCCACGCAATGCCTTGTCGCATGCGTCCCAAAGCTTGCCGGTGATGCTCTCTGAAGCAGGCACAAGCTTTGGTGGTGGCTGTGTTGGCCACAAGGCATAATTGCATGCCATGCAGTATGTGAACCCCGGATGAGGCTGGTTGCCAGGGTACGTTAAGACAGAGCCATCCTGGTTCGAGTCCACAACGATGACAGAGTACGCCTTCCGACACCCTGCCAGGTTGAAGGTTACCACTGTATTCTCCAGCAGTTCGTTGGCAACCAGGTCGTCCTGTAAGCAGTAAACACCAGGGCCATGCATGTCAAAAATCCACATTGATGTTGTAGCAGGGTTCGACACTGACCCTCCTGAAACTTGCGGGCTCCCCTGTACAAACTTGCGGGCTCCCCTGTACCTCCCAAGTTTTCCTTAAGGCGGGGCCCCCGTACCAGGCTCCTGTACCCCCCGTAACCCCTGCGAAACCCTTACGGGGGCACTGTCCTTGGCTGAAACGCTGTGGAAAGTGACGCTTTGCATTTTTTTGCCCTGTAAATCGTTGTTTTCGTTATTTTCTCGTGAACCATTACACTCGGGGACACGGCACACTCAGTGAAAGCCATGCGCCTTGGCCGCCGCGGCCGCCCATCCCTTCTGCTCCTCAACATGATCTTCACCCGATACGTCCGTACTGCTATCTGACATAATACTAAAGAATGGGCTTTCACGGATTCGAACAAGCTGGGCGGCAAGGATGACTTCACTCAGAACGTGCAAAGCCGTGACGAAATAGCGGTACTGGTTGTACTTGAAGTGGATGCCCGGAAGCCCAGCCGCCGTTAGCATGAGAAGCATGCTCGGCAGCTTAAGCATGGGTATATGTGCCGTACGGCCTCTTATAAATCCTTAAAATCCTTACGGGGGCCCCCGTAACCGGCCTTCAGCTGGTCCGGGGGCGGCCGGGGGCCCGGGGGGATACCGAAAAAAGGCCAAAAACTTAGGGGCCCCGTACGGGGTGTCGAACCCTGTGTTGTAGCCTGGCCAATAACACATGTATGCTGTTGCATCAGGGAGGGGTAGGAAATCCATTGAACAATGGGTATTAAGTTTTGGGGCCCCCCTTGGAACAGGAGCAATTGAGTTCCTGGCCAATGTTTTTTTCAACTCGTCAATCATCGGGTGTTTCTGGTGAAGCAGCTGGCTGCATTAATTGCGGCTTCATAGGGTGCAGCAGTACAGTGGCGGTCAGGGTGCGACAGTCCGATCGGGTCCCATCAGGAATGGCACTTGTGCTGAAAATCCCGACAGGCTTTGAAAAATGCTTTCGGGCGGACCCGACGAAAAAGGGAGAAAATGCCAAACGGCCATCGGGAGCCCCCGACGGGGCCCGGAGGGCTCCCGTCGGGGGACCCGACAGGGTTAGGGGCGCTAGGACCGCCCGATCGGGTGCCGTGGGTCGTCGGTGGGCCCTTCGGCGACGGACAGCTACAGCGATACATAATGCATTCGTAAAAATATAACTGGATGGAAATATGTAATGTAGTGGTAGCATTCGTTCACTTTGTTGCCTCTTCTTCTTTATGATGCTCACAGGCAGACGTGCAGCCGTGCATGTGTTGCTGTGTGTGTGTGTGTGTTTGTTCGTGCATATCAAAACTGTGAACTGCAATCTGAGAACTGGAAACTGCGCATATAAAATACGAATAAATGTAATTTCAAGCGGCACACAGCGAAATTTCGTTCTTGCGTCACCCGACAGGTTTTGGGATGGGCTATCGGGGCACCCGACAGAAATTGAAAGATATGCAAAAACGCTATCGAGTGGGGCCGACGGGCATGGGAAGGGGAAAACCGGCAACCCGACCATTTCAGGAAGGTCCTGTCCAACCCTGGTGGCGGTAGTGGCTTAAGAGTAGACGGCCAGACACACATCACATCCGTTTACACGCATTTGAAATTGGGAAAATGTACAGCGCCCGGCACTGTTCATGACCCTAAGTTTGCAAAACTGCACATAGTGGTTGTGCAGTGAGCGGAGGGGATGTAGGCAGGCCTTTAGGCACCAGAACAAGCGGTCGGCTGTGGTAAATGCAAGTTGAGACCAATCTTCCCTTAAAGAAATGCAACGCATGCTGCATGAGGGCACTGTGAAAACACATATGACACGCCAGCAACATGCAGCAACCGTGGCACGCCTTGATAGCAGCGCACGGCTACCATCGGCATGCCGTGCCGCCAGAAGCTGCATTTGCCCAGGTTTAACGCTGCTTGGCAAATATACAAGAATATACCTTGCAGAGCTCCACTCAGGTGAAACAAAGGCCAGCACAGCCCTTGCCGGCAATACTGTGTACATTGTCTATCAGGGCGTCGCACACTATCTTCGGTACACTATGGGCTAGTGTGGACTTAGGGTAGTGCTAGTGTGACGGTGTTTCCACTAGGTGCACTAGGGAGCGCCGAAACCAAATTGATATTCGTATTTTGCACGTTTTAGCGCCAGGTATTAATTGCTGCTAATTGTCAATGTCTGTAAGGAAAATATCGATCGTAGGCTTTTCCTATTAAACGAGGGCTCCGTCACAAAATGGCGGCCTTCTGAGGCTGCCGGTGTTGGGCGTGCGCAAGTCAACGCGGCATTTGCAGGAAGGAAAAAAGATAGCTGCTTACATCTAAAGTCTGTGGTCAGAAGGGACAAACCAGCTCCTAAAAGTTGCTCGCCAAATAGTTGGTGCTAGGTCTTCAAGTTAATGGCAGCTCTGAGGTCCCATTAACTTTGTGGCGCGCTAGTGTGGACTTAGTGTACGGGGTGTTTCCACGAGGCCTTACGGTTCTCCGCCAGGAGTGCCCCAACCTCCAATTTGTTTGATGAATATTTGTTACTATCATTTGTTATATGAATATATGCATTTAGGACGGTGAGAGACTAGTCCAGGACGAAGAACATTCGAACTTAGTGTTAGTGTTCGGCCAAGTGGAAACACCCTGTATGCCTGCTGCTTTTGAAGGCTGCCATTTGCGACCCTGTCGCCGGCCCTCTCAGCAACCCGAGCTATTAAAGTCCTTTTTGTTAAGCAGCTATCACTAAGCAGCTATGATAGCTGCTTAATGATAGCTGCTTAACTACAAAATGCGAAGGCCACGGCCGGCCTCTCAAAAGCCGGGAACGCGGGCTTGACGCGTATGTGCGTATAATTCGCGGGCGGGCGAAATTCGATCGGGAGCTGAAGCGGCTTCATTATCATGCGCAAAATGTGAAGCCCTCGGCGGGCCGCGCAAAAGGTCAAACCTCCTCAAGAGCCAGGAGTGCTGGTGGGATAAGGATTATGCGTGTGAAAAATTCGTGGGCGTGCGTTGACGGACGCCAGATTGGCTGCTGTGCGCGGGTTGCCCCCGCTACTGCGAAACGCCACAGCATGAAGGCGAGCGGGCGCGTCCGCAGGTCATTTGGCATGCAGGAGTCCAGTAACAATTGAATTGCTTAACGGTTGCTTAAAAAATGCGACAACAAAACAAAAAGAAAGAAGAAAGACAATTAATAAAAAAAGTTAACACCAATTGCGGTCACCCTACAATGACCGACTGGTCTACAGCCGCTTTGTGGGAGTGGGAGGCCTCGTGACGGGTGCAAGCTGAGCGATCCCAGTTCGTGCGGGAAATGGTGGTGTTACTCTTCTTTATGTGTGTTGCAAAAAAAAGCAGATGACCGTCGTCGAGCCCTGAAGTGCATAGGCCCAGCTCTTGAAATCACCACAAGCGTCAGTCAGCCAAACAATGTCCGCGTTGGGAATATGAGGCCGCTCAAGCCCCGGGGGGACACCAACGGCATCGATCTTGTTGGTGGACATGGCATGGACTTGGCATTGGGGGTTGACGGCGGGCAGGAGTGTTGCCGGCTGCTGTTCGGGAGCGGTGGTGTTGGGGGTGGTTGGCAGGAGAGGTGCTGGCTGCTGACTTGGACCCTTGGCGGCGGTGTTGGCTTGAGTGTGCCTTTTCTTCTGTGGAGGAAGGGCCACGGTGCTGGCGTTTCCGAAGTTGGGAGGTGGTGGTGCTGGGAAAAGTAGGCTTGGACCTTCACTGGCGCTGCCCGATGGCCCAAGTAACGGCTCTTCCGCCTCAAAATATCTGTTGCTGCGGGCTCAGAAGTGGCTTTACGACTGGTCAGCATGCCGGCCAACGTGCATTGTCGACCGTTTCCTTCGTTCCCCGGCGAGATGCCGCCGACATGCCGCGGCCAGCAGTTAGAAATCATGCTGAACATACAAGCAATATGCTGAAGATGATGTAAAGGATAGGCCACATGGAACCAATATGCCAAAGTCCACAATTGACGGCGGGCAGGAGTGTTGCCGGCTGCTGTTCGGGAGCGGTGGTGTTGGGGGTGGTTGGCAGGAGAGGTGCTGGCTGCTGACTTGGACCCTTGGCGGCGGTGTTGGCTTGAGTGTGCCTTTTCTTCCGTGGAGGAAGGGCCACGGTGCTGGCGTTTCCGAAGTTGGGAGGTGGTGGTGCTGGGAAAAGTAGGCTTGGACCTTCACTGGCGCTGCCCGATGGCCCAAGTAACGGCTCTTCCGCCTCAAAATATCTGTTGCTGCGGGCTCAGAAGTGGCTTTACGACTGGTCAGCATGCCGGCCAACGTGCATTGTCGACCGTTTCCTTCGTTCCCCGGCGAGATGCCGCCGACATGCCGCGGCCAGCAGTTAGAAATCATGCTGAACATACAAGCAATATGCTGAAGATGATGTAAAGGATAGGCCACATGGAACCAATATGCCAAAGTCCACAATTGACGGCGGGCAGGAGTGTTGCCGGCTGCTGTTCGGGAGCGGTGGTGTTGGGGGTGGTTGGCAGGAGAGGTGCTGGCTGCTGACTTGGACCCTTGGCGGCGGTGTTGGCTTGAGTGTGCCTTTTCTTCCGTGGAGGAAGGGCCACG